TTGAAGGGCAGTTTCGGGCCACTAGAAAAAAAGGATTTGGCGCGCCAGAGCCCGGAGCCACACAGGCCGCGCAACTCCGCCCACAGTCTCGCACAGAGCCCAGAGCCCACAGTCTAGCAAGTGCGAGGTTTTGGAGCGTCTGAAGCGTCCATGGAGCGTCTGAAGCGTGCAGAATCCAGAAGTATGGCAGAACCATTGGCAAGTGTCGAAGCGTTTGAGGGGCTTGAAGGGTAGTTTCGGGCCACAAGAAAAAAAGGACTTGGCGCGCCAGAGCCCCGAGCCCACACGCCCACACGCCCACAGTCCCGCACAGAGCCCAGAGCTCACAGTCTAGCAAGTGCGAGGTTTTGGAGCAGCCCTTGACAAAAGCGAAGGTTCGACACCTTCGGTGGCCCCAGGCGCCGCCTCTGCCTTCGCCAGAGCAGGGGTCGGCGGATAAGGAATACACTGTAGTCATTGTCCTTGAATTCATAGCTTGATAGCTCGAATTGTCAACTGAAAGATCGGGAATCAACATAAGCTCAAAGGAAGAGAGCAGCAGCACCAACAGCAACAACAAATGTTGGAACTCTCTCTCTCTTTTGTTTGTTTTTTTGTACACATGCCAATGCTTTAATCGCTTGGCTTTGATACGAACAGTCCTTGCCTTTGCGGTGAAATGTTGCTTAACTTGAATGTTCTGACCTGTTGTGGATCCCGGTGGTGTTGAGAGCTTTGGGGGCGGGGGCAGATGGGTGCTTTGATGTTGCTTGATGCCTTTTGTGTGGGAAGCCAGCATATTTCCAACCGTTCTTATGTTTTTGTTATGCTTACATGGTGGAAAACGATTGTGATGGGTTGAGCCCCAGAGGTGGCTATTGCACACAATGTCCAGAGAATTGTGCCTTGGCTCGGTAGATGCACCGTGCAAACAGACAATTCTCTCAATTTTGAACGCCTGGTGTTCCAAAGTCAGGAAGACCACATGCTGAAGACATTTGTCTTAGCGGCTGAATTGGGGCAGATGTTCACACAGAGCAAATTTTGTCAACTCAGGCAAAACATGCGCCAATGCATCGATATGCCTGGAGTGCAAGAATCAACGCTATCTCACCATTGAGCCTTGATCGGGATGAGAAACGAGTGGGCCATCCCAATGATATGGCTTTGTTTGTCACGGGATGATCAGTACGCAGATCGGCCGCCCCCTCTACATTATAACGATTTCTTATTTCCTCAAAGTGGCGGGCCTCCGTCCTTTGGCGATCTAGAAGGGGACGCCGTTTTCTATTTTTCTTTGTTCCTAATAGATGGCCTCCAAAAATCTACTCCTCCCACTGTTCTGATTTGTTCTGACTGTTCTGTCTCTCTCTCTCTCTCTCTCCCCCTCCGTCTCCGCGGTCAGCTATATACCTTTTGCAAGCCGCGGGCCATCAAACCCTCTTTCCCTCTTTGCAATGCCTTGCATTGGAAACTTGTCACCAATGCCCTTCGTCTCATTTCTCGTTGGTGTGCAACATGAGCTTCGAGCATGGCTTGGTTGCCTCTCTTTGTATTCAACATCTTTTGTTATTCAACGTCTTTTGTTGGCTACTTGCTTGACCACCCTTCTGAACGAAGTCTGCAAAGTCGCCGCAAGCCTGCAAGCCCCGTGATGTACATCCAGACTCGCTAAGAATCACAACCTCAAGGTCCGTCAACGCAGCCATCAAAGCGCACAGCGCAGCGCGTCCAGATGCCGTGCCGCAAAATGTGCGGGAGCCCTGCGGTGGGGAACGTGTTAGAGGAGGCGTGCAGCCGGGTTTGCCAGCTCGTATGTGGCGTTGGCATTCTGATCAGATACGACTGTCACAAACTTTCAATTTTTCCCACTTTAGTGGTGCTCCATGATTCGCCGCAAAAAGTTTGGTATTTTGCTGGTGCTGGTGGGCACATGGTCGCAGAAAACTGGTGTCGCAGAACACTTAGGTGGATGACCATTTTGCTAACTTTGCGTTGAACACATGCAAGGTTTTTTCTGAATTAGAGCATTTGTAAGTCCCTACAGCCCTACAGCTGTTTGTCCGAATTAAACCCAGCTAAAACATGCAAATGAGGGAAGACACTTGTTTTATGATGCTAGTGCGGACTCTGCAGATTTGTGACGGCTTGCGTAGTGGTGTTTGCCAGCATAGTTTGGTTGCCAACAAGTTGAATTGGAACATCTTCCCAATTTCACAATGTCAGCGAGACGTTCATTTCCTTTATGATACCCTGTAATTAAAGCCGTTGATTGTGACTATGGAATTATATATTCAATGAATCCAGCCCCGAGCGGAGGATTCCTGTGGACCTTTGCTTTGGAATGGCCAGATGTGGTCACAAATAGTCAATATATATATATATATATACAGACAGTCTACATAATATCTTAGATAATAACAAAAAGCTGATGTGGATGTAAACCATATTAACCTGCTGGTGCTTTTAGTGACTTTTGATAGGTTGGTGGTGCAGAAGATGCAAGGTGAATGGGTTAGTGCTTACATATGTGTATTGAATGTTTGGGTGACATTCTATTCAGACTTACATGTTCACAGTTTAACATTGTGGGTTCAACTGCTGATCTCACAAAGTACTTGAGAACAAATAGAGCCAACAGCTAGTTGAGTTTGATTTGTATCATGCTTTTGGTCGTGGAGCTTTGCAGGGCATTATACTGTAAGTCAAACGCATTGTTGCTGCACAGTGCTAGGTTGGCCCGCTCATCTGGTAGCATTTCAATTTTCCCCATATCAGAAAGATGATTTGAATGTACCGGGCATCTTTCAATGTGCAGCGGCCATGCCTGGCTTCCAACTGGCTCACGAGATCCTAAACCCTGGCCGGCATGGCCGGGCTGTGTCGCAACATGTTCAATCCACCGGCGCCTCGACGGTTTTGATTGGAAAACCGATTGGGACATACAAGGGGTGGTTGTCATGTCGTGAGGGTGTCTCTCACGTTCACACACCACAGCTCAAATTGTGGTGCCAAGCTTCCACGAAGGCACCAGACACGCCGCTACAAGCAGCTCCGTTCGAACTTTGTTGGAAGATCGTTGCTTCCAACCTCTACTGCCAGATTGTGGCAAAGATCAGGGCAATGGCCGGTAGTCCTTCTGTCGAGTGATGGTCCTTCTCTTAGGCTTCACAGCAACGAAGCATTGGTTGTTCCGACAAGTGGGGAGGACACTATTGGATCTTTGCCTTAGACTCGTAGACTTTAGCTACACTCTTTCTATAGACCTCGCAATTTCGAGAGTTCGAGAGAATTCCTTTTTTTTGCGACTTCATTCTAGGAAGTTTGTTGGGCCCATGTGGAAAACGGACCCGTGAAGTGGCACGAAGTCGGCAGCCGACGGTCCGTCCCGCGCAACGGGTCACTCGGCACGGAAATCTTTTGATCATGGTCTGCAGTCTACGACCGCCCAAAATACCTACAGTGGGGCAGTGTCGCATAGGTAGAGATACTGAGATACGTCGTAGATAAGTAGGTTTGCTCCACCATTAGATGCCCCAGCAGTCGGAATCCTGCGCTGCGCTGCGCAGCGGATGGGGGGCAGCCTGACCCAAGCTCATTGCACGCATCCAATTTATACAAGTTCATTTCCGTACTTGGGCCCCACTTACAGTAGTGGTGCCCCCAGATCAAATTGCTTTCTGCCAGTGACTCCCAACTGACAAGCATGGCGCTGAACTCTGAAACATGAATCTCCGGACAGTGCAAACATTTTGCACGTCTGTGGATTTCCTAAAGGGTTGGTTTCACTGCCTGTGCACCAGCACTGCGAGGTTCCACCAGGCCGTTGAGGTTCTTCTGTGATGGTTGTTTCCATGGGACGCCACCACTGAGCAAGCGTGTGCTGCAAAGTTTTCTCAGACGTGCCACTTTGTCCCCTACCCCATGGCTTTTGTTTCCCTTATGTACAATAAACAATACTGCGTGCACGATCGACACAAGATTTAGAGATGAGCGCAGCATGAAGCGGATGAAGACAATGAAAGAAGTATCTATAATCACATATAATCACTCTATTATTGGACCACTGTTAAAATTCTTTAGTTATGTCTTACTTGCAACTTGCAAGCATCGTTTGATGTATTTTTCGACATTTTTCAGTGGTCCAGATGACACCCAATGATGCTTGCACATGAATGTAATTTGGACACCCTGAAGAATGTACAATTTCAAGGGGGTCGAAAAATAGAATGAATAGTATACGCAATGAACTTTACAATGTGCGTGACCGACACACAACTTAGAGATGAACGCGGCATGAAGTGGATGAATATTATATAGAGAAGTGTCTATAATCACGCTATTTGCAAACTGTTTGCAAGCACTGGTGAGTATAATTTTCGAACCGTTGAAATTGTACATGTTCAGGAGGTCCAAATTATTTTAACTTGCAAGTATTTTGTACAATCATGAAACATGTATTAAGACATAGGCTGTTGATAAACACTTATGATTCCTTGACATGAACCTAGTGATGCAAATGATGACGAAAAATACAGCCAGACATACCTGATATATAAAAACTATGTGTGTTATTTCATGTTTTCTGCTCCCACTCCTCTCCCAGACGCATCTGATGCAAAATACGCATGTTCGTCCCCAGCTGGCAACACAAAACGGAAACGGGAAAACATGTGCCAACTGTGCAGCGTCAGGACTTTCAGTGCAGTGCCGAATGCACAAAAGGTTACTACGAAATCAAAGGGGACGCTTGGGACAATGGACTCGGTGGCTTTGACTAGCACAGGGCCACATTGCTTGCTTGACGTTGCTTGGCATTTGGCCAACAACTTGAAAGAGGAGTGATCCAAGGCGGCTGGTGCAAATCTTGCCACGAAAATTGCAGTGCCTGCAACAGCTGGGAAGAATGCGGCTCGCCTTCTACATTGCACCAATTTGAAACAAACGAATTTGGAGTTGGAATTGGAATTGTCAGGTACAGAGTGCACTCTTTACAACTTCAGAACACCTGATGCAACTTGCACGGACTCATGCCCCGACACATACTACAAGAGCCTTGGCTTTCTTGATCACCATGAGAACCTCGACGTCTTTGGGATTGGAGGATAGCCAAATCGCTTGAGGAATGGTACGGAGAAGACTGGAGGTGAATGTTTGCCATGTGCAGACAATTGCTTCGAGCTTCTTGATTGCAATTGAAACATTCTCGTGGCATGATTGGGAGAACGAAGTACTGCAATCCTGCTGTTCTCAATCCCGATTCCCTATAGATTCCTATGTTATGAATTTTGACAAAGAAATCCACTTAAAGATCGTTACATAGTGGCAATACCAGTGTGAAACGAACGAGGTGCGTGAGTGCTACCACCTGCGTTGACACAAGCTTAGTTGTTTTGACGCGTCGAATAGTAATGCTCACTGGTGGAGTGACAACATCTTGCTGTTTGCGAGTTTGCTGTTTCTCTTGGCTGCTGAGAATTGCAACAATTCCCACTTCCTCTCACAAAGCGGTGAGTGTGTTGAGCATTGCCCCGATGGGGAATACGAAGTGGGAGAAGAAGAATTTGGACGCGAATGCAAAAAATGTCCCAATGACTTCAACAAGTGCCTCACAGCCACCTACGCCTCAGAATGCACGAACAATTTGATGCTCAGCTTCGATTTTGCGATTACAGAGTCTTGTAATGTCTTGTATATAAGTCTTGTGACATGTTGAGAACCGCAATGGTTCGGATAGTTCTGCAGCTCAAGGTATCTCACGGCAGAAGCACAATGTGAGCCATTCTGTCCAGACGGTTGCTCCCCCAGCATGAAACCATGTGTTTTGTTCATTGGCTCTTGCCCTTGCTTCTAGTCTTTGGCTCATGGTATACTGGTGTGAGGATTTTATCGAGCCCCCCCTTCACGGCAAACTGATTGGACGTGAATGCCCGCGCTGTCCAGAAGACTGCAACAAGTGTCAGGCTGGCTGGCAGTGCTTCATGTCTTTCTCTGAGTGAAAAGGGCTTGGTTCCATGGTTGTCCTCTTTTTTTAACCTTTGCTATATTTGCCACTGTCAAAGGCACCTCTCGCAGACAAACGTTCCGCTTGGCAGGATGCCGGAGCCTGTTCAGAGTGCAAGAACTCCATGTACCTAAGTCCCGACCTTTGGTGTGAGCCGGAGTGTCCCACTGGCTACTACAAGGCACAGCCGGAAAAAATCAGTAGCTATTGGTGTTGCTGTGCAATCCGCTTCTCCCTTCTTGAACAGGGAAAAGACATGTAAGGACTGAGACACTTGCGCGTTGCGTTTCTTGCATGCTTCTGATGATGTTTGTTTGGAAGGCTTTGCAGCTGCACTCCGTTTTTGACCATTTTCCCTTGTGCTTGTAAGTTCAAAAAGTTTTTCCCAGCCTTCCAAAGGTTGGCATCTCATTACAGGTTGGCAACGGAGAGATCGGAAACATGTGCCAGAAGTGTCCTGTCAGCTGCCGAGCCTGCGTGGACGCAGAGACGCGCCATGCCCAGTTTCATGTGTTCATTGAGTGCCACGCATCGTCGGCATCGTATTGTTCCGTTGGTCAATTTACAGGTGCACGCCACAAAGGTTGTGTTCTGTGTCAGGTGCACAGAATGCATGGACTTCAAGTATTTGTCACCAAGCAGGACACTGATCAGCAATTAGGAATCTAAGACTCTCAGTTCTTTGGACTCTCAATTCACGCAATAGACAATCGGGTTCAATTCAATTCCCATACGTTTTGGCTGCAAAGATTTCGTTGTACGTGAAGGCAATGTGTCGAGACGTGTCCGGAGAACACTTTCCCACAGGGAGCACCTGGCTCAGAATAGTGTGCTTTCTCGCAAGTTGCGTGGAGGCCTAGGAGGCTAGGCCCAGGGTTTGTCCCAGGTTGCATATTCTGTGTTTGCCTACAAGGATGATGAAGCAGGGCGTGTTTGTGCCTATTGCGAAAAAAAATTGCCACACCTGTTCAACAGCTACACGATGCCTTGAGTGCATCTTGGCGCTGGATTTGGCAGCACGCCAGAAGAATCCTGTGTTTTGTTTGGTATTCGTATTTTTCCACCTGCCAGGGAGGGTCTTTTGGATTTTATGAAAGGTGCAACTCCTCTCCTCTCCACTCCGCTCCCCTCCTCTTTCCTTCCCTTTCCTCTCCAGCAAGCTCTATGGCAGTATGTTCACGCACAGACCCCATCATGATATGGAGCTCAAGCGCAGTCTGGGCACCCGTGAACACTATGGGGAGCTGCAGCCCTTTATGAGTGCAGCGGGCCTGAGCACATGCCATCCAAAATTGGATGTCAGACTTCATGCTACAAGATATGCCAGAAGGAATTTCCAGAAAGGATTGCAGAAAGTATGCCAGTCAGATCCAGTTTCATAAGATTTGCAAGATAGAATGCAGAAAGGATGTCAAAGATATGCCAGGTAAAATGCCAGGAGCTATGCCAGAGAGGATGTCAGAAGGTAGGCCGGCCGAAATGCCAGAAGATATCCCGGAAGATATGCTGGGTAGAATGCCAGAAGATGTGCGAGATAGAACGCCAGAAAGGAAGTTAGAAGATATGGCAGGTAGAAGGTAGAATGCCAGAAGGGTTGACAAAAGGCGATCAAAAGATCTGCCACTCAGATTGTCACCAGGCAGGCCAGACAGAATCCCAGAAGGTAGACCAGATAGAGTGCCGGAAAGGACGTCAGAAGATGTGCGCATAGGATGCTGGACAGCATTTGCTGTAAAAAAATCCAGGCCACGTGCCACAAAAATTCAACTGATGTTTTTTTTGGATCCCTCTTAAGCACGCCCAGAGCGACAAAATTTCTCAAGCAGCATGTTTGCATAGGATGCTGGACAGCATCCTAAGTTGGATGAGTATGTTTCTTAAAGCGCTTCTAAGGATGCAGGCCTCAAGCGTCTCTGGAAAGTGAAAAAAATCCAGAACAGAGTCCCTGGATGTTAAAGCTCTACCAGCGTTTTGGGATAGTGTCCCTTTTTTGGTGACCTCGTGCCACTAGAAGCCTACCCCTCAAAATTTTGGCATCAATTGAAGGCTAACCTATCGGTTTGATTTATGCAGCGAAGCTGCCAGAAGATGTGCCAGTTAGAATGCCAGAAGATCTGCCATGTAGAATGCCGGAAAGGATGCCAGAAGATATGCTAGGCAGAATGCCAGAAGATATGCCAGAAAGGGCGCCAGAAGAGTGTCAATACACATGCCCTGCCTTCTTCCAAATCGCTCTCAAAGTGGGGGGTCACTTGGAGTAAGATCATGTTAAACACACGCCATACAGTCCACAGGCGGTGCACAGGTAGACTGGCGTCATGTCACGGTGTAGCTGGAGTCGACAAGTGCGCGGCTGTTACCACTTAGGACAAGTTAAGATTCCACAAAAGGTCTAGGAACCAATAAATAGTGCGAGGATTTCTTCAAACAAGCTCCACCCGGCCCTCAGGCTTCCTAAGCCCACTCAGCCTCCTCACGGCCTACCCCGCCCCGTGGGCCAGATATATAGATGGATGGATGGATAGATAGATACTGTAGATAGTTACATAGTATACCCACTTAAAAATGAATTGTATGTACTCAATGTTTCTTTCCACCTTCCCCTCCGCAGTTTTTGCCCAGCTCCCTTGAGCGTCGAGGCTGCTCGAGTGAAGTTGCGATCAGGTTCTGCTGGTTTGATTCGTTCCCAGGTAACAATTCCCTGCACTTGGACGAGATGTTCAATTGTACCAGCCTTGGGGTGACCACGTAGTGTTCTCGGTGGCAGCTAGCGCATTGTGAAGCTATCAAGTTCGCTTGCGCAACATTCACGCTGCGAGGTGTTGATGCTTGCCCGAGCGGCTACTATCCGGAGGCGCACGCTGTACATGCTTATCCTGAAGCTCGGAAAGCTCTTTTTGGCACGCAGGGCAGCAAGGATCGTGGGAGAAGCTGCCTGAGTTGCCCCACATATTGCAGTATTTGCGCAGGCCTGAAGGGCTTGATTTGACCTCACGCGACCGTCCGACTATACTCATATTCTCGCCGTTTTGCTTGGGAAAGGGCTGAGTGTGGCCTGAAGACGCAAAAAGGGCACCAAGGTTATGGACATTTGCAAACGCAGAGACATCCTGAACTATTTGTTGAAATTCACCTCATCCCCATGGACCCCGTAGCGTGGACTCTCAAGGTAGAGTAAAAGAGACGCTTAGCGGTTCTACAGGGTTAGCTAGGATAGCAGGAAATCTGGGCTGATCCTGTAAAATACAGGTTATCAGCCGTAGGCTAACTAGAGTAGAGCTATGGACCCAATGGACGACGACGTCGCGCCGAACGCCTACGGAAGTGGTTTTGACATTGTTCCAAGTTTACCCAGCAGTATGGATGCAGTTCAGAGGCATGAACAGGCAGTTGCTCAGGTGGCAGCAATGGATCCACGGGTAGCTTCGGAGGTGCACCAACAAATGCTAGACAGTGGCGGCAGTGTTTCTCTTCAAGAAGCTACTCAAGCTACCCTAGCAGGTGTGCCGTCAGCCACCGTAACGGGTGCGCCAACTGTAAACAACATGTTGGCAATGACCCGGTCCAACGTCGTCAATGTTAACACAACAACAGTCGATGAAGAACTACGACGTGAACTACAGCAACATGAGTTTCAACTCAGTGAGCAAGCAAGGATGGAAGCAGAACTCGAAGCATTGCGTTTTAGACAGCTATGCAAAATGTTCAGCAAAGGGCTCAACAACAAGACAACGTTGCGATCAAACGGTTGCAAGGTACATTGGAAGAGCAGCGGAAGCGTTTCCAACAACGGTTAGCTCAGGCAACTATGGCTCACGACAAGGCTGTACAAGAGAGGGATGCCTTGGCAAGTTGCAATGAAGGCAACGCATATGTAGAAAAGTTGAAGTCAGAACATCGCCAGTACGTTGAGGAGAATGAAACTAGATTTAAGGCAGCGGCAGAGGCAATGGAGCAAGCCAGATCTACAGCAGCCGAAGACGCCAGTAAAGTTATAGATCTAGAATTCAAGCGCGAAGAACTGACAAATTCATTGGCAATTGCACAAACCAAGATCAGGTCGCTTTTGAGCGAGATGGAAGCAGCCAAGAAACAGAACGATTTTGACAGTGAGTATCAGGAGCAAAAAAATTGGTGAACTCAGGAAGGACAGTGCAATGTTGAAAGGTGAGATGGATGAGCTCAGACAGGTTGCGCACGCGTTATCCACAAACAAGGAGGCAGAGCGCAAGGAGGCAGAGCGCAAAGAGGCCGAACGCAAAGCACAAGTCGAAAGCCCCGTTAAACCAGGGCCGCATCATCCTGAACCACCTCCGCCTGATGCTCGCACTGATACTTTTCCTATTGGTCAACCTCGTTCACTTGGACCTCTACGCACGGAAGGCTCAATTCCGGCAACCGTAGATGGTTCGCCCCCAGATGTTGGCGGAATTCCCGTGAAGACTGCAATGGATGCAAATGCAACCAAACGCAACACTGGATTTTTCAATGTTATCTGGAACAGGGGCGGCTGCAACAGAGCAAGCTACAGCTTCAACGCATTAAGAAGTTTGGTACGCCGGATCCTTGGGCAGACTATCGGAAGAAGTCGGAACAGCACAAATTCAGCAATGACCCTTTGTTCAAAGGCTCCTTTAACCCGGATGCCAAACAAAACAAAGATGGCCGCAAAGATGAAGGGCCGGCGTCTCAGGTACGTACTCCCCAAGAACAAGACCTAGGTGAAATTATTAAGAAAGCCTTGCTAGAGGGGTTTAAAGGCGCCAAAAGCAAAGACCATGACAAACCCAAGGCAAAGGAGGCAGATAAAATAGACCTTCCTGAATTCCCCAGTCCTGACAGGTACCGCACTTGGACGGCCGCAGTTCGCGAAACGATTCAGTCCGCGTCCGATGACCCAGACGCCGCGTTCGCGTGGGTGCTTGAGGCTTACGCCGTTCGCGAAGACAAGGCAAAGCTTTGTTCAGAGTTGGCAGACCCAGGCAAGTTTCGGACCTTAGATACAAAACTCCTTGCTGCTTTGACAAAGATCGCTAAGGGCGAGCTGTCTCAGCAGATCCTTAATTACAAGGAATCTGAGGCACGCAGCAAGGTAGGATTGCTCGTGGTCGTCAGGTTTTGCTCATGTTTGAAGTCCAATTCAAAACTAGCGAAGAAGCGGGCGCACTGTATGGTACTGAAGACCTCCTCAAGATCTCGCTTGACAGCGACGACTTAAAATCCTTTCTTAGGAAATGGGAAAGTGTTTTGACTGGAATGGGCCTTGACTTGTGCTGCACAAAGTGCAGAACGGTCACCGGCGAACAGGTGCCCTTGTGCTCGCGTAACTGCGATGCCAAGTACTGTAGGCATGGAGAAGTACTGGTACTGACCAGGACATCGTAGGTAAAGATTCCAAGACTGTGAACCGAGCCACTAAAATCTTCAAGTCTAATGAACCCATTTCCCTCACTACTGCTAATGGTCCCATCACTGCTGAAGATGTAGTTGAGGTGATTCTTCCAGGGTTGTGTGAATCCTTTAGTCCCTACATTCTTCAGAGTGCTCCCTCAGCGCTCCCAATAGGACTGAGATGCTTGGAACAAGGTATGATTTTGATTGGGGAAAGGATACCATTCCCATTTTCTTACGACCAGATGGACAATGTGTTAAATTTAATTGCACCCCGTTTCCCATTCCGGAATCGCTGAGGAACCGTCTTACTAAGGTACTTGACTCCATCCACCAGTTCACCATCGACCAAGGCTTTGCTATGGCCAGTCGGGAATCCGAACCTGAAGAGGAAGGAGAGGATGATGATGCTGGCGTAGCTGCCAATGCCGATGAGGAACAGGAGGAGGAAGAAGACAGTGACCCAGAAGAGGGAATTCCGTTTGATTTTGAGGACGTTCCCGTAGCAGGGGGGAAGACCGAAGAGCAGCTTCGTAAAGAAGCAAAATCAGGGGCGCATGAATGTACGCATAGACCAAAGAACCCTTACTGTGATGTTTGTAGTGAAGCCAAGATGCTTGCACCCTACGGTAGAAGCGTAGGCGGATCACAACATGTTTTGGCGCGTGGTTTTGGAGATCCCATTGGTTGCGACCATGTCATCCCTAAAGATATTGAAGAGGGGACTGAAGGCCAAACTTCCACGTTAGTGATCAAAGACGTGTACACCCAATACCGATGTGTTTACCCTTCTGAAAACAAGACAGCAGCATTTTCTCATGACTTCTGATCTTGTTGGTATCGTGTACACTGACAATGCTCCGGAAATGTTGGATGCCATTGAAGAGCTTGGATTCAAGCATCAGACTTCTGTTGAGTATCAACATTCCACCAAAGCGGTTGTTGAACGGGAAGACCTGTTGCAGGCCAACATGCCTTTGTCATTGTGGCCCTATGCTTTCAAACACCATGCTATGGCTATTAATGTTGTCAAGCAATTGAACGCAGGAGACCCACCGTGGTCACTGCGCTTTGACAATGTATTTCTTGGTAGACAACTTCCTTTCGGATGTCTTCTTTTCTTTTGGGAGGGAAAGTATGAACCAAAGAGAGGTAAGTTTGCTCCCAATGCCAAGAAAGGTGTTTTCTTAGGATATAACATCCAGGCTGGACGTGTTTGGAGGGGGGAGTATTTGGTGGCGAATGTTGATAGTTTGGATTATTTTCTGAAAGAAGGACATTTGAAGACAATACGAACCAAACCTGTTGCTTTGCCTAATGGTGATTTCATTTTTCCGCTTCACTACAAAGAGAAGCCGGTGCTCGATCTTCAAGACCTAGATTACCAACCTGAAGAGGACGATGAAGATGATCCACCGGATGGCGATGACCAAGATGATGATGACCCAGGACCAGATCAGCCTACCATTCGAGAAGATGAGAAGATGAACCAGCTGAGGTCCCGGATCCACCATCAGGGGCGCCAGAGCTTGAAGCAGAGATGCGTGAAATGAAACCGGAAGAACTAGCCAGCTTAAAAGCTGAGCCGGTGGAAAAGAAAGGCAAAGAAAAGAAAGAAAAGGAACCAACACTGTTTGAACTTTACTACGACCCATC